CGCGCGCGCACACACACACACACACACACACACAAACACATACACGCAAACACACACACGCACACATGCACACAAGCAAGAGAACAATGACGAGGGTAACAAATAGGTGGCGGCGATCGGTCCTCGTTACCGGTGGTTGAGCTCGGCCGACGTTCCGCGGACGTCGGCAAAAGTACCGCTATCTCGCGTCGGCCGAATCATCAACTACGGTACTAATTATGCCCACAGCCTCCGCTCCGCACCGCATTCCTCTCGGAAGTAGAGCTCATGCGGAGGTCACGCGCCACGCGTCAGTGCGTACGATGATGGAAAGACCCGGATACGCACCCTCGACGTCCCTAGGAAAACGGAGCGGGGCGGAGGGAAAGCAGAAGATGCACAGGGTAGAGTTATAGGAGTATACTCTCCAGCGCTGGTAGAAAGCTGGGAGTGGGGCGCCGATTCACAGGGTGTAGTTATAGGGGTATAGTCTCCAGTGTAACTAGGAAGCCGAGAACGGGGACGCGATGCACAGGGTATAATCGGTGAGGGGCGCGAATAACTCTGTCAGAGAAACAGCGGGAAACTACGAAAGCCCAGAAGGCTCATGCGAAATGCGAAATGCGAGACCTGCGAAATGCGAGATGGCGAAATGCGAAATGCGAAATGCGAAATGCGAGATGGCGAAAATGCGAAATGCGAGATGCGAAATGTAGAACTTTATGTCCAGCGAATCAGCACTTAGATTTCATCATGTTTTAGAATGTGGCAACCATGAAATACCGTTTTGACATGCATTCAAATGCTTGGGGTCTTGAGGCAAATAAGGGGCGTCAAGTTGGTAAATCAAACTAGTACGTCATTTTGGGCGCATGCGCAGTTCTGGGTTGACGAACCACGTCTTAAATATTATTCATGACCTGGGTCATCGCACGAAAAGCGAGGCATAAGCTAGGCAATTTGTAAACCAATGGCTGCTCAGAGCAGGCACGCACACAGGGGTACACGCACGTCACGCGGGTACACTACGTACACGCGAGATACACGCAGACGTAACACGCGGTACACGGATATAACACGCACGCTACACGCACGTATAAGCGGGTACCGCAGATACACGGCACGTACACGCGGGTACACGGCCAGGTACACGTACCCGCGTGTACGTGTACCCGCGTGTACGTGCGTGTACCCCCTCTGTGCGTGCCTGCCTGAGCAGCCATTGTTTACAAAATTGCCTAGCTTAGCCTCGTTTTCGTGCGATGACCCCCCACCCCCAGGTCATGAATAATATTTAAGACTGGTGTCAACCAGAAACTGCGTATGCGCCAAAATGACGTAGTTTGTTTACCAACTTGAACGCCCCTTATTTGCCTCAAGGACCCAAGCATTGAATGTCAAACGGTATTTCATTGGCCACATTGTAAACATGATGAAATCTAAGTGCTGATTCGCTGTACATAAAGTTTACATTTCGCATCTCGCATTTCGCATTTCGCATCTCGCATTTCGCAGGAGCCTTCTGGGCTTTCGTAGGAAACAATACCTGATAGATTTAGGCGTTGAAGCGGGAACGTTGGATGACACTCAAGCAGTTAGGCGGCGGCCGCGGGGCAAGGGGCAGCAAGCGTTCGAGAGCGCGAGAAAAAAAACATGGTACCAAAAAGAATGGTTCAAGCGAAATTTTTCACGATCGTTCCGAAAAATTTGAAAATATTGACGATAATCGAGAAAAGTTCGATGGAATGAGAAGGCTGGGCGAGCAGCGGGGGAGAGAAGGGGGAGAGAAAAGTGACGCGTTTGGAAAAAATAAACCAGAAATAAACACATAACTGTTAATGATAAAGACAC